GACCAAAATTGGGTAAGTTACGCCAGTTGATCATTTTTCGAAAAAAAGTTCATTTTTTTTGCACACCACTGTATATTGTTTAAGATACTCTTGGAATCTTTTTGTCCTACATTACGTGAAAAAGAAAATTGACAATATAAAGAAAATTTGAAAAAAATGACTTGAATGAAGTTCAATCATTTATGTTTTAAGAGAATTCCACTGGGTTTACGACCACTAAACCACCCAGATTATAACCATCAAGATGTCTCGTGTAGATTCCTTATTTTATTTCGGATAATATTTATACTGTATTTATAGGTGAGAACAGATTAATTGTAACACAAATAGATCAATACAAATAAACAAATGCGCGCGCCAAGAATATAAAACGAGATTTTCTATATAAATTATTCATCCTCGTCTTGATAATTATTGATTCGACTAACAAAATATAAATCATAGTGAACGATATGTCAGTCTATATTGTAAATATTCAACATTACAAATTTATAGACTAACTTTCTTTAATAAACAGTTCTCAATTAGCGCATAAGACAAAATTCTAATGCGTTAACTACGTGTGATCACGAAATTATAAATTTTCGCAATTATAATATTAGCAGTATGTAGCGTACTTTAAATGCTAAAAGTAAAAAAAAGTTTGAAATTCTCCATAACGTTATTTTAATAGCAAATAATATTCGGGATTTTTTGTTTGATGACCCAATAATTTGTTCTACAATAAAAATTTCGCATTTTCCGTTTTATATTAGAAAAAAAAGTATTAACGTTAACTATTTTATGCAAAAATTAAATAATGTCACTCCGTGAAATGAGGATTAAGTTCCGTGCATAAGAATTTAATACAAAAAAAAAACAGTTATTAGAACGGTTACAACCAAACTTTTCACATATTCTATCCATTTTTTGCGTTTTAGTTATATTAGACTTCCCTAAAATTATTGATGAAACTCTAGTTAAGAAACATAAATAAAGAAAAACTTCAATTTTTTTTTTTATTATATATGAATACATTTAATAATATTTTTCTTTCTTCATAAAATTTTCATAAATGTTTACTGCAAATTGGCTGAATAAAACAAACAACAGTAGAAAAAGCCTTTTTAGCTAAATATAAACTTAAAAGCTTGCTTGACCGATATAAATCAGTGAAAATTAAAGGACTACCAAAAATACTGTGTTTTTTATAAATTGAATATAAAATGTTTGAACAAAAGAAATGAACTTTGACATTCTCTTAATTTTATAAATCCAAACATAAGACATTGGACCGGTTTACACCATCACTCTTAATCCAGAACAAATTTGTGAGGCCTATCATAAACACTGGATATTATCATCGATTAAAGGATCTCCGAAGCAATAAAACCATAAATATGTTGTGATGGTATATCGACGATTATGGCATCTATTGAGCCTATTTTGTTTACAACTAATAAGTTGATAATGTTGCGTCATATTAATCCTTCGTCGCACAACGAAGCTTTTATTTGTTTTACCGATCAATGAGATTACTTTGCTTGGAAAACCTGCCGGTATTGACAAAAGTTATCTTAAGCTGTTCGTCGTAAATATTTTTCAATACCAGACTTTTTGGAATTTATTATTTGATGATTTAATATTTAGTCAGTAAATACAACGAAGATAACCCGATAAAACAGTTACCCTGCACTCGTGCCGCTCGGTGGCAGATTCTCGGTGATTATAAAAAAATATTTAGTAAAAAAAAAACTATTATAAAATAAATATGGATTACATATGGTTCTTATGACTAATTAAACTAGGTACCGCGAGCCGCTGTAATTCACAGAAAACAACTCTTAAATTTTTATTATTTAATTTAAGGCTGGAAATCAGATCATGTGACAACATAACAATACATATTATTGGTTGATCACGCGTGCGGACAGACGGACATTGCTACGCTTCGGACATCTGCCGTGTAACCGCAGCATTTACAATTAAGGATTATTTTGAGTAACATCCTCCTTTTTTTAATAGTTACTACGAGTTTTTTTTTTCATTCGGAATTTCTTATAAAAGAAAATCCGTGTTAGTAATTGCTTATTACAAAGAAGTTTATAGGGGACTTTTTAGATGTCATTAAAAGTTAACTTCAAGATCAAATATGGACGCTTTACTATTAAAAATCACGGACCATATGTTTTATATATTTTGTGACTTTGTACAGAAATTCTGCAAGGAAAATCTTCATTAATAATCCCAAATTGGTTTATTATAAATTAAATAAATGATTACCCGGTTCCTTTTCGTCATACAATTTTAAATTCTAGAAAGTTTTTTTTTGTGATTTGAAATTCATTTTCTTTCGTCCGGACCTCGATTTATTTAGCAAAAAAATTATAAATCATAAAGTATAAAAAAGTCAAGTTTTATAAATGGTTTTGAAGCCTATAAAAAAAAAATCTCGTAAATCACATGATCTACTATACTCTCAATTTACAGATGTTTTTTCATGGAAAATTTTAATGTATATTTAATATCGGAATTAAAAAGGAAAGGTGTAGGAGTATGTTTAGAATGTGGTGAAGAACGAATCAGTGTAAGATGGTGTCAAAATTGTGAGAGTAATGGTTTTAAAGAAAATTTTAACAATTGGACAAGTGGCAACCTTAATATTGATAATTTCATTAAGTATACTCAATTAAATGCAACTCGATGTGTAGATTACTTGGAATTTATTGAATTTGAACAATTCGATCTTATAGAATATACGAATAAAGGAGGAGCCCTTAGTACAATTTATTCAGCAATTTGGATGGAAGGTCCTCGGTGGATTTTAGATGAAGAGACTGAACAATGGACACGTAATGTCCCATAAAAGTTGCTCTTAAAAGACTTAATAATTCACAATATACAAGCGAAGAGTATGTCAAACAAGTTAGTTATAATTTTAAAAAATGCTTTTTGCTACCTTTTCCTGCTTTAAATTATTAGTAATATTTTCGTTTAATAATTTGTATAAGCTTTATAAACTTCATAATTTTTTACGAAGAGAATGTATTGCAGAATATTTCGGAGTAACCAAAGATCATTCTTCAAATTATTTTTTCGTTATGAAATATTATGAGAATGGAGATTTACATTCATATCTTGATGAAGCGCAAGGAATGCTTTGCTGGAGAGATATTGTTGAAATGCTTTACGAAATTTCCGGAGGAATTAAAGATATTCATAAAGGGGAATTAATTCATGGAAATCTTCATGGAGGCAATGTGTTAATTGAAAATGAACCAGATTTTGTAGGTACACGAATCGACGTGGGATTACGTTCAATTAACCAGGAAAATTCAAATGAAAGATATGGAATACTTCCGTATGTTGCTCCTGAAATTTTGCATGGAAAATCACCAACCAAAGCCTCTGACATTTATAGCTTTGGAATTATCATGTGGACACTATCTGCGGGTATTCGTCCATGGTGTAATAAATCTCATGATCTTAAATTAGCTACTGACATTTGTCTTGGGAATCGTCCCGAAATAATTGATGGAACTCCAAATGTTTATATTCAGTTGATGAAACAATGCTGGCATCCCGATCCTTCAAAACGACCGACTGCGTCTCAATTATTTGATTTATTAAAAAGTTGGGTGTCTGCTATTTGCGACGAACCTAACTCTTCGGATTTGTCTGATCAATTTGACCTTGCAGAAGAGAAAAAATTTTTAGATTTAGAAATTAACAAATTTCACCAAGAAATCCATACAAAATCATTTTATACAAGCAGGCTCTTGCATTTTCCCGAATTAGTTGATTCCAATTTAAATGATGAATAGATAATATTAATACTCAATATAATTGGCATTCGTTATGTTTAGTCTCAATAACAAAGAAAAAACAATATGAATATTTCGATTAATTAGAAGATAGAACGTCGACTTTGGAATTATAATTATTTTTATTAAATAAAAATCATTTAAAATTTCGCTATTATTTAATTAATATAATAAGATTTGGAAGCTGTGTTTATAATAGATAAAAGCTCCTTCATCTCATACTATTAGGTACAGTAAGTAATTCGTTAATTTATTTTAAATAGAAAGAATTTAGTATCGATTTTTTTTTTTTTTTGGCCGCGGTATTGTTACACTGAATAATTTCTCCCGAAAACTCCATAATTTCGTATGTAAATCGCTTTAGATATTTGCAGTTAGTCTTATGAAGATCATTTGCCCAGATTATTTTTTTATAAAGAAATCCTTAAACAACTCAACATTCCACGCTCGCCTTATTATATTTTGCATACATAAACCTCGAAATCCTTCCTTTAACCCCTTCGCCATATTTTCGCTTTCGCCGTTTTAACATTTTAGATTTCGTATTTGTAACTTCGTTTTTTTTTAATTTCCAATTTCTTATTATTTTATTATTCAATTTTTTTTGTAACTGTTCGTAATTGCGCAGTTTGTTTTAATCATGGTATATTGATTGGCATTTACTTAGTTTAATATATAGATTTCAAACCAATAAAATCGTTATCAACAATTTCTTCATCTGAATTACCTAAATTATTATTTAATTTATTAGTATTATCTTCTGATTCATTTCATCATCATCATCATCCTCATCACTCGTCATTTGTTTAATCATATAAAATTTGGTTATTAAACACTGGTTAAGTAATATGAAATCGATTTGCTTGTTTTGAAATTCTTCTATCACTTCAAATTCTTGTTATATTTAAGACTTTTTCATTATAATTAATAAATAATAAAAAAAATAAATTAATAAACACTGATAATAAATTAAATTAAAATAAACTTTAATACAACTTACTTTCAATTATTTCTTTTTTTTTATATGAATAAAATCCATAATTGACCATAATCTTTCTACCGAAGCTACATTTATATAAATATATATATAATGCAAATTATATAATTCTTGAATACATCCTAAATATGATTTCCAAAAACTTATAATACCTTTACCAAATTATTCTATTATTAATAGATCAAAAGGATATTTCCTTTTTTAAATTTAACAAATTCTA